TCAATAACATCTACAATCGCGACCAGCCTCCCGGCATGAGGCCCAAAGGAGACGTAAGCCACCCGGCCAACCTCCACGAAGCGCCTGAACACCTAAAATTGAGAGGTGAGGGAGAGAAAATGATTAAACATACTCCCTAGTTTGTAAGGCTTTGCAGCTTAAAGGCAGGGTGGCTAACAACAGGGAAAAAGAATGTTGAGGGTAACACGCCCAGGTGCCATGGAACTTAGACGAAATCCGCAAAGGCGGCGGCAAAAGCCAAGTTCTCGCTGGCCTACGGGGCCTGCACGGCCGGATCACCAGCCCCATCCCGGCTTGGCCCCAGCGGCCGGGCCAAGCGACTAGGCACACCAGCGGTCCTACGCAGGCGGCCGAAGCGCGCACGCGTGGCCCAGGCAGCGCCAGGCCTACCGGGCCCCACACGCGCTCGTCGGGCGCGCATCCGGAAAGCTGCCAACTCCATGTCCTGCCCAACCGAGGACCCTCACCGCGCGCTACCTAAGACCCACTGGGCGCCATTCCGCGCCTCCACTCCCCAACCCAAGTAGAGATGGAACAGCATGGCAGGCAGACCCGGAGCCCACGACCGGGACACTCACCATATTGGCGGCGTTAGGCGAAAAGGAAGAAAGCCCACTCTACTGTGCGCATGTGTAGAAGGCCGCCCCGCCCCTGCGATGCACGAGACGCCGACGTGGGCACCGATTGGTTGGGATGTTCGCCCGTACGCGCACGCATGCTCACTGGGAAAACAAGCCGGAGGTCGCCGGAGCGTGCGGAGGCCGCGCTCCTTTTCCCGGACTGGAATTGCTGGATTGGCTTAGTTGATACCGCGGGTAATTGTCCCCAAGTGGTAACATTTTACCATTGCTTTATCTTTTAATCCTTTTTTTTTTGAACCATTTGAGAGGAAATTGCAGACATGATGTTCCTTTATCTCTACACACTTAAATGTGATATTTCCTAAAAACAAGGACATTATTCTACATAATCAGTTCAGTGGTCGAACTCATTAAATTAATAATAACATAGTGTTTGGAGGTTTTTTTGGCTACGGCACAGCTTGAGGGATCTTATTTCACGACCAGTGATCGAACCCGGCCCGGCAGTGAAATCCCAGAATCCTCATCAGCCAGGGAATTCCTACATAGTCTATTATTTAATCTGCACTCCTTATTCAAATATTATCAGTTGTTCCATTTATGTCATTTCCAGCAAATGAAAAAAAGTCTTCCTGGTCTATGATCTCATGAAGCGTTACAATTTGTATTTAGTTATCACGTCTAGTCTTAAAATCCATAGTAAATCTTTTCTTGTCTTTCATAGTACTGACATTTAAAAATACAGGCTAGTTGTTTTGTAGACGGTCTCTCAATGTGGATTTGTTGTAGTTTTCATCATGATTAGATTCAGATTATACATTTTTTGGTAGAAATGCCGTGCCCTTGATGCATCACATCAGAACACCCGCAGGATATATCTTTGTCCCAATATGGCAATGTTAACTTTCATCCTTAAGGTGTTGATCATTGTGCTGACAATTCCCAGATGTATTTCAGTCCTTTCCTCTAAGCTCTCTGCCAGTGTATATTCCCAGGACTGTTCTAGCAGCTTTCTAAGTGACCTGCCTTCTCCATTGCTCCCTTTACTCTGTTCTCTGCTCACCAGTTAGAGGGATCTTTTTAAAAAGTAAATTGGATCACATCACTTCCTTTGTGTGTGTGTGTGTGTGTGTGTGTGTGTTTGTTTGTTTGTTTTAACATCTTTGTTGGGGTATAATTGCTTTACAATGGTGTGTTAGTTTCTGCTTTATAACAAAGTGAATCAGTTATACATATACATATGTTTTCATATCTCTTCCCCTCTTACATCACTTTCTTTTTAAAGTACTTCAGGGAATTCCCTGGTGGTCCAGTGGTTAGGGCTCCACACTTCCACTGCAGGGGGCACAGGTTTGATCCCTGGTGGGGGAACTAAGATCCTGCAAGCCGCGCTGCGCAGCCAAATGAAAAGACAACCCACAGAATAGGAGAAAATATTTGCACATCAAATATCTGATAAGGGACTTGTGTCAAGAATATGTCTAAATAAATAAATAAGTAAATACATAAAATATTTTAGTGGCTTTCTACAGTATTTAGAATAAAATCTAAACTCCTTACCCTGGCCTACAAGGCCCTGCATCATGTGTTCCTATATCCCAACACATCTTATGCCATCCCTCCCTCACCACTGTGCTTCTTCAGCCACACTGATCTTGACCAGGCCACCAAGAACTGTCTTGTGCTGTGACTTTTGTACATGGTGTCTCCCCTGCCAGGAATGCCCTTCCCTCTTCATACTCATTGAATAGCAGTAGCAACTTCCGTCTTGTATTTTTTTCTAGATACCTCTTCTGAGACTTAACCTGACTACCTCATAAAAAAATTGCAGTTGTTCTACTTCTCCCTTTTCTAGCTCAGCTTTTTGTTTTCCTTAGAGCTATCATCATAATGGCAATTGTTCGACTGATTTTTCCATTCATTTAGGTTGTAGTTTTGTGCCAATTGACATAAGTTCCATAAAAGCAGAACCTTGAAATCTTTTCTTGGTACAGTACCTGAATAGGGAGGGGCTCAGTAATTGGGTAGTCTTTAGGCCTTGGTATCCTGCTTTATAATTTATAAAGCAGAAGGCGTGAATAAAAATATTCATAGCAGCACTTTCTTGGTAACAGCCCCAAACTAGAAACTACCCAAAGGCCATAAACAAGAGAATGGATAAATTGTGGAAGTTTGCAGTGATGGAGTCAACAGCAACTACATGGGAACAGCATGGATGAATTTATACCCAACACTGGGAAAAATAAACCAGACAGAGTATATACTCTGTGATTTCATTTATAGAAAATTCAAAACAGGCAAAATAATCTATGATATTAGAAGTAGTCACTTTTACTCCTGGTGCAGTCAGCAATGGCTGGAGGGGGAAGGGGGGTTTCTGAGCTGCTGGAGAGTTTCTTCCTCTGGGTGTTAGTTACACAGAGTGTGTTCAGCTTGTGAACTTTCAAATCTCTACCTTTATGATTTGCACATTTCTTTCCCCCAAATGTGTTTCCTGGCTGTACAACCAGAGAATCTTGATTTGCAGGTCTGCGGAGGGTCAAGAATCTGCATGTAATAAACAAGCTCCCCAAGTGGTTCATTGAACACAGTTTGGGAAAGACTGGGATTCTCCAGTTACAGAATTATTTTTCTAGAGTTCACTAAATGGTTATGTCACACTGGTTTAAAGTCCTCCAAAAGTCCATTTTTATCACCTAATCTACAGGATGAAGTCCAAACTCCTTAGCCATTCAAGGCCTTGCATAATCTCACCCCAACCCCCCTTCCTAGCTTCTTCTCTCTGGCCGTTCTGCGCCCCTCACCCCTAATCCCGCTATAGCTACGTTTCATGGCTTTTCATGCAGTCAGCCCCCCTCTTCCTAGAATGTGCTCCCCATCTTTCTCCCTGAAAAATGACAGTGCATCCTTGAAGAAGCATCTTTTTTTTTGAAAGGAAACCAGGATTTTCTTTTCTTTTTTTTTGGTACGCGGGCCTCTCACTGTTGTGGCCTCTCCCGTTGCGGAGTACAGGCTCCGGACGCGCAGGCCCAGTGGCCATGGCTCATGGGCCTAGTCGCTCCGTGGCATGTGGGATCTTCCCGGACCGGGGCACGAACCCGTGTCCCCTGCATCGGCAGGCGGACTCTCAACCACTGCGCCAACGGGGAAGCCCTTCTTTTCTTTTAAAATTTATTTTATTTTTTAATTTTATTTTTGGCTGCATTAGGTCTTTGTTGTTGTGCACAGGCTATCTCCAGTTGTGGTGAGTGGGGATACTCTTCGTTGCAGTGCACGGGCTTCTCATTGGGTGACTTCTCTTTGTTGCGGAGCACAGGCTCTAGGCGCGCAGGCTTCAGTAGTTGTGGCACGTGGGTTCAGTAGTTGTGGCTCTCGGGCTCTGGAGCACAGGCTCAGTAGTTGTGGCGCATGGGTTTAGTTGCTCCGCGGCATGTGGGATTTTCCTGGACCACGGCTTGAACTCATGTCCCCTGCACTGGCAGGCCGATTCTTAACCACTGCGCCACCCGGGAAGCCCATCCTTGAAGAAGCATCTTTTTTTTTTTTAAAAAAAGGGCACACGGGTTCGAGCCCTGGTCCGGGAAGATCCCACATGCCGCGGAGCAACTAAGCCCGTGTGCTACAACTGTGCCTGCGCTCCAGAGGCCGTGAGCCACAACTACGGAAGCCCACGCCCCTAGAGCCCATGCTCCACAATAAGAGAAGCCACCGCGATGAGAAGCCCGCGCACCGCAACGAAGAGTAGCCCCCCGCTCGTCGCAACTAGAGAAAGCCCTCACACAGCAACAAAGACCCAACGTAGCCAAAAATAAAAATAAATAAATTTAAAAATATATATTTATTTATTTGGCTGCACCAGGTCTTAGTTGTGGCATGCGGGATCTTCGTTGCTGCATGCAGGATCTTTAGTTGCAGCATGCTAACTCTTAGTTGCAGCATGTGGGATCTAGATTCCTGACCAGGGATGGAACCCGGGCCCCTTGCATTGGGATCGCGGAGTTTTAGCCACTGGACCACCAGGGAGGTCCCTGAAGAAGCATCTTAAGACACCTTTCAAAGCAGCCCCAGGCGGTTTTCAGAGTTCTTCAAAGCTTCATTATAATGGCAAGATAATTCTCCAAGCAAGCCTCTTCTACCTCGCTACATCGCCGGCGTCCAGTAATAAGCAAAAACATCTTAAGCACCTATATGGTTCAAACGCAAGAGAACCAGACAAAGCACACGCCCAGGTCTGGTTGGCCGGCTACGCCCCTTCCAGGACGCCCAACCGGCTCGTCCAATCACCGGGAGGAAGGGCAAGTCGGGGACGACGCCAGGATCCAAGATGGCGTCCTGGCCCCACCCGTTATTTCGCGGGGCCTCTCCCTGCGGAGCCACGCCCCTGCCGTACGCCGTCCCTACGTGTCCAATCACTGAGAGGAAAGGCGGGTCAAGGTCCGTGCCTGCTACAAAGATGGCGACCGCGGAACGCTCTAGAGCTTCAGTCTTTCGTCAGCTGTTGGCGTGAGCTGTGTTGGAAATTATGTTCCCCTGAAGCCGCGCGCCGCAGCGCCTGTCTGTGGCAAGAAGTGGATGTGAAGGGCAGGGCGGACGTCCTGCTTCGGGTTTCAGCGTTGAGGCTCCGAGCAGAGGGGTAGCGCTGATGTCGTCTCCAGGCCGGGCGATGCGGGGGAGGGCAGCAGCTCGCCCCCTTCCCCGCTGTTTCCAGAATCCCTGCGGGTGTCAGCGTGGCCAGAGCTGTCCACCTGTAGACACTGGACCCCAGTATACCTGTCAGCTTCAGCTGAGTAGATGTATCTCGGGTTTTTTTTTTTTTTTCCCCTCAGTCATGAGGGATGGAGGCTTCAGTTTAGCAGACAAACTGTCTGGGGCCCAAAAGAGAAAAAAGTCTCAGCCTGTTCAAGAAGTGAAGCAAAAGCTACGCAGAACCCTGACATCTTTGTTCCTGTAACCTTTCTGAGTTATGAACCAATTCCGGTTATGATGGAACTGGCATGGCCGTCATATGTATGCCTACCTGGCATGATATATTTAGGAATGAAAAATGCCCGTTACTTCTGTGAAGTGAAGAAACTGCACAACCTAAAAGTTGAGAATTTTTTTATTTGGTGGCTTTTCTGAGGACCTAAGCCAGGAAGACAGCCTCTCAAATCGCTTTGGGGGACTGCTCCAAAGAGGCAAGGGAGGAGCCAGGATATATACGAGTTTTCCAGCAAAAACCAGGTAGTGGAACATCAAAAGATTACTGTTAATAAAACCAAAAACAACTATACCCCAATTGGAAAAAAAAAAAAAAAAAGAACAGACATTGCAAGTTAGTGAATTTAGGGCTTTTCTGTGTATGGGCAGTTGCAAGAGTCTGGGCTCATTGAAATTATTCCTTTGATATGCACCTTAGCTATCTAGGACCAATATACTGTTCTTTTTTCCATCCTGAATCCCCTCAGAGTGCACAGTTGGGATGGCTTTAGTGGTTGATGGGTTGATGGCCGCAATAGCCTTTGTTGACTGATATGTCAGGCAACATTTTTCATTCACACATCTATTTTCAAAATTTTCATCTTAGGAGCCTGGAAGCTGAACATGACAGGGTCCAAGCCCAATCAACCTAAGACCACTAAGAAGAGAGAGGGTTATAGGATTGTGGGGAGATGTGAAGTTTAGATGAAATTTAAATGAAACACTGTTTTGATAGACTCAAAGGAAAGTAGGACTTTCTAAAGTGGTCAACATCAGCCCTAGACAGCAAAATGAACCCATGGTCCTGTTTCTTTGAAAATGTTGTCCAGAAACCCCTTTTCTGAAGCTTTGCCCCTGGGTTGTAAATTGAAACTTTCATTCATACTGATAAAATGTAAAACATCAAAGTTTCTGAGAATCTTTGATTTTAGAGAACAAAGTTTCTCAATAAGTAAGAAATCAGTAGTTACTCAAAGAAGAGGGTTATTATGACCCTTCATAGATGTAGCATTCATTGGCAGAAATATTGTTTCCTGTTAACTTTACAGTTGTCTTTATTTATATCTGTTTTTCCTGCCCAGTGACTAGCCATGCAGGTTTTACTTTCTCAGTCAGAGCTAACTTTTAAAAAAAATATATTTATTTATTTATTTATTTTGGCTGTGCCGGATATTAGTTGCATCACGTGGACTTAGTTGCAGCATGTGGGATCTAGTTCCCCCACTAGGGGTTGAACCCAGGCCCCCTGCGTTGGGAGCTCAGAGTCTTACCCACTGGACCACCAGGGAAGTCCCCAGAGCTAATTTTTACTTAACAAATGTTGACGATATAGCAGGAAGGTACCCTGAGGGTTTCATCAATGGGGAAATTTTAGATCTTTTCTGTTGCAAAGCAGGAGGTAAACTCACCACAGGTGATGACATAAACTTGGATGAGCAAGATGTCCATCATGAGGAGAACATTGGCCTATTAAATCACAGGAACCTGAGTGAGATCAAATGAAGCTTACTTAGCAAGCCAGTGGTTGCTCACTTCCAACTTCAAGTTCCCAAAGAGGTTGATGGACCCTGAAATGGGTCAGGACTCTTGGGATGCAGTGCCCAGTTTCTTTCAGTAGTGCAAGTTTGTCTAATACTCCAAATGCCTGGATGGGGTATTTTGTGATTTGTCTTTTCTGTTTAATAACCAAGGAGTTAGTGTTGGTTTCTGTGCCAATACAAATTGGTCCAGTGTCAAGAAAAGATTTCAGGAAATATGGTGATAGAACAAGGGGATTAGCAGATGCTAACTATTATACATAGAATGGATAAGCAACAAGGTCCTATTGTATAGCACAGGGAACTATCACTTTGCTGTACAGCAGAAGTTAACACAACACTGTAAATCAACTATACTTCAATAAAATAATTTTAAAAAATACTTGGGAAACATATCAGATCTAAGGAACATGGTGAGGCCACAGCAAAGTTGGTGGCTTTTGTTGCCTTTGAGTATTAGAAGCTGTTGACAAACAGTTGTCATGCTCTAAAATAGATCATTAAACTCCTCATTTTCTGTGGAACACAGAATATTCTGTTGCATAGAAGGCTCACTAACACCAAGGTTACATATGCATTCTCACATTATATTACAGAACTGGAGCCAGTTTTGAAAGAGAAAATTAGCTACGTACCACATGGTGCTCGAAATAGCTGAAGAAATGCAGAATGAACTAACAGGCTAACAGGCCTCCAAACCCAGAACAAGTTCCCGGAGCTGGTAAAAGCAGCCGAATTCTTGAGTGTGATCATAGATGGGAACACTGGTATCTCTTCCAAAGAAAATCTCTCCCTCTTTGCCGTTTTCACCAGACTGAAGAAGGTAAGTGGAGTTTTATTTAATATCTGATTGATTTCGTAGAGGCTGTTGACATGACTGAGAATCTCCCGACAGAATGCTTCTTGCAGAGAATAGCAGTCTGCGGTTTACCAAAGGAATTACTGCAGGGTTTCTGTGATCAGAGGGTGATTCCATGAATGGCCAGCTGGAAGGATTTGTTCTTGGCTTCTAAGATGCAGGAGCTGGACTCAGCTATTATTTGGTCCTGTGCAGTGGAGCCAGTCACCAAACTTCTAGACGCTGTGGGCAAAGTCATGGTACGCTAAAGGCATTCTCAGAGCACTTCACAGCTCAGCTGGGTTTGCTGCAGGCATTCCTGAGTGAAGGGGGTGAACACTGGGAGGAGGAAGAGGAGTGGGATGTTGTGATTTATAAGGAAAATATATATGTGGTCATCCAGATGGCCAGAACCCTTGGAATTTCCTAAATGTTCAGAGTGGTAAAGGTGTCTCTTGTTGTGTTAATGAGGTGACTTTTAGAAGTAGGATGGGGGTGGGTTGCCAGGAAAGAACCAACTCTGTGATTAGAGGGTTGGAACTTTCAGTCCCACCCCCTGATTTTCAGGAAGAGGGGAGAGGAGCCTGAGATTGACTCAGTTGCCATTGGCCAATGATTTAGTCAATTGTAGGTATGTAATGAAGCCTCTATGAAAACCCAGAAGGACAGCTTTTGGTCCCATTTTTGGAGAGCTTCCACGTGGAGAGCGACAGTGCTTCCTCATGCTCATATGAGGACCCCATGCTCTAAGAGGCCAGAAGTGCCTTTGTTGGGTACCTCGCCGTATGTCTTTTCATCTGGCAGTTAATTTGTATCCTTTAATATCCTTTTATAATAAATCAGTCATCTGGTGAGTACATGGGTTTTCCTGAGTTCTGTGAGTCGTTTTAGCAGGTCATTTGGACCCGAGGAGGATGTCCTGGGAACCTCTGATTTGTAGCCAGTTGGTCAGAAGCACAGGTAAGGACCTGGGCTTGCGACTGGCGTCTGAAGTGAAGGGTGGTCTTGTGAGACTGAGCCCTTTACCTGGGTAGCTAGTGTCAGAACTGAGCTGATTTCTCAGACACCTCCTGGTGTCTAAGGATTTCTTGTTGGTGTGGGGAAGCCTCCACACACACACATGTTGGAATTGATTCTGGGAACCCTTTTCAAGGAGGAACAGAGTAGTATCAGAGAAAATACCAGGTGGACAGCATCTCAGTGTCTGTGTCTTTTCAAGGCTAAGTGTACAGTCATCCTCAAAGTTTTGCAGGAAATAGGCACGCACAGGGTGCTGAAAGACCTTTTTTTATTCCATCACCAAGTTTGACTTCCTAGTGATGATGGTGTGTTGAATAAACCCTTTCAAACACCAACTCCTTGCCTCAGGACATGCAGCAGGCTGATACTGACCTCCTTGACTTGTTTAATGAAGCCACCTTGTAATCCAGAGGTTCCTGAAAATGAAGGACAGTGAGACCCAGGCTTGATGTCCTTGTACAATGAAGTAAAGCATGGGAAGAGAAAAATTTCCTCCTACTCTGCCCATGTTTTGTGGCCAAAAATTTCCCCACAGTGTCTTCACAGCCACAGGCCTCCAGGAGAGCCCCAGAAAGGCCTTGTTCGTTCCCCTTCTGAACCATGTCATTTTTGAAGTGCAGGAACAGCAAAGTTCTTGCTGTGATTAATTTCTTAGTCCCTCATTCCAAGCAATCTGTGTTTGCTGGAGAATGGTGAGGCCGAGGTGTCACTGTATGAGGCTTTCAAGGGATATATACTCCCTACATGGCCAGGTGTAAAGCACAGCTGGAGAGGTAGATGGCTGGGTAGATGGATGTTCCCAGGCAAGAGCAACCAAATAATAGCGTTGCTGCACTGTAACACTTGAACCTCATCTCCTACCCCAGCATTAATGCAGCTCTCTCCATTCTGGCCACTATTTTGGCCACTATACCTGTCTATGTCCCGCCTGGAGGGTGGAGAGTATCAGAATCTGAAAGAAGCACTCTGGAAGGAAGCAAGAGCTTGCCTGGGCTGCCCCTGACATGTATTCCTCAGGACAGCTGATATGCATGAGGTCTTGGATGACTTTGACCCATATTCACACTGACCGTGGTTGGAATGTTTTCTGAGTTGCTGAATATACGGGTACTTGGAACTTGCCCCAGGGCAAACGTGTCAGCTGAACGTGTTTTTGGGATTTGCTGTCTGTTTTATAAGATTGTTTTAGGGAATTCCCTGGTGGTCCAGTGGTTAGGACTGCATGCTTTCACTGCTGTGGCCGGGGTTCAATCCCTGGTCGGGGAACTAAGATCCCACAAGCTGCGCAGTGCGGTCAAAAAAAAAAAAGTTTTAAAAAGGCTTTCCAGTAAATGGAGTTTGTACTTGTACTAGGGGAAGTAGTTTTACCAAGGAAATGGCAATTCCTCGGTTCTTGTCCTCCCGAAGAAAAGAATGCAATCGAGAGATGTAGAGCAGTTTTTAAGCAGCACGAGTTTTATTAAGCAAAATGAAAGTATGTTCCCGGGAAAGGAGAGCAGGCTGTCTGGAAACCAGAAGCAGCCTCGCAATGGGAATAGGGTTGGGTTTTTTAGGGTGGTGGTCCCTCCCTGTGTCCTGTTATTTGACAAGTTGATTGACTGACAGCTTTAGCTTATATAACTTTTCTCCTGTGCGCAGGCGCTTACCCAAGTGAAACCCACGGGGTTGGGGGTGTGTGCAAAACTGCAATGTTAATTTATTACAAATATGGCATCATGAACCCCAGGTTACTTTGTGCTACTTTTTAGTTTTTGGTGCACCTGCGTCAGCCTGTGCTGCTCGTTTTATCTTGCTTGATCCTGATGAGGCTGGAAACTTAGTGCTCCTTGACCACAAAATGGAGGATCTCTGGGTGTGTTCTGATCACCAGTGTCCAGGTGGGGGGAGGGAACGATGACCCTGTCCAGGACGGGGTGGGGACCTGCTCATGTCTGACTAACTACTTAACAGTAGATTCTGCAAAACTTTAGTGCAGTTAGGTTGAGAGAAAATAGCATAAGAGGCAGGCAGGGGTGTTCAATACATTTGAAATCCAATCACTGTGGTTCAGTAAAGAAAACAAGTTGTGTGCAGATCTCTTAAATGCAAGTGGCCTTTTAAATTTTCTTTACCTTCTGTTATTAGAACATGAAACTTTGCAGAGAAACCTTGGGTAGAAACTCAGGCACACTTGTTAAAAAGGCAACAGTATCTAGTATAGAATCATTAGTACAGTCAAGGAATCCTTTTTTTGGAACCTGACACAGGGGAGAGGGAGGAAAAGTGAGACCTTTAGGGAGAAGGGAAGAGATAGAGAAAAAAGAAGGGCATGCCTGTGGCGTGGCAAGGAGTGGGCAGACACATTCAGTCGTTGCTTCTGGTTCTCTGGCAGAAACACAGGCTGTTGAGTCCTCTCTGGGTTCACCCCTGCCCCCTGGCAGTGTGATGTTGGTCTGAGTTACTTAATCTCTTAATCTCCTTTCCTCTGTGAAATGGGGTTTAAAAGCTTTCTCTATTTCCCTAAACATTGTTGGTAGGGTGAATTTAGATAGGGGATGTGAAAAATAATTTGTAATTATAAGACTGTATATGTGTTTAACTACCCTGGTGCTGAAAGGTTTGTAATGAGACCATGTTTTTTGATTAATTTATTTAGCAAACGCTTATGAACACATAACGATCATAGCTCTTATTTGTTGGACATATTTTTTTGTGCCAAACCCTGTGCTAAGTAGGCCCTGTGGGCAATAAGACATGCCCTGCCCTCAAAAAACTCTATCCTGGGACGACTCTTTGCTCTAGCCTCTGATAGCTCAGTGCTGCAGCCTGGGATGAATTCACCTGACTGGACCCTGTATCCTAGCTTGGGACTGCCTTTCCCTCTGGAGAGTTGGATCTGGTTTACTCTTGCCTTTGTGCTCATTTGAGCCTGGGAATGAGGGCTTTTCCTCAGTGTGGGCTGGCAGAACTCTGGCAGAGACGGACAAGAGTGTCCTTTATGATGGCTGTGTTGAACCAACTGTAGAATGAATTTACCTCAGAAGGTCAGGCTTTCTGCTAGATGAAGGGGTGATAGAGATGTAGGGGGAATTTGTGGGAAGGAGTAGAGTGTTGGTTGGGATCCCAGAACAAGGTTGGTGCTCCTGCACCAGTGGACAGGGTCACTTCTGAAAAAGTAAAGGGACAAAGATACATGGGATGACCTTTAGCTCCAGTGAGAGTACTCATGATACCTTGGCTGGCTCAATACTTAAATACCTTGGAATTCTATGACCTACTGTGTCCTCTCATTGATTCCTTACAAGACAAAGTTCCCATGAGGTGGGGAAATGACTCTAACAGGAGACCATATGTTATTGTCAAAAGACAGTTTTATCATGTTCCCAATACTTAATGTCTGTGAATCTGGGCAAGTCATTTGCCTTCTCTAAACCTCAGTTTCCCTTGTGGTAAAATAAAGGTGAAAAATGTCAACTTCCAAGGGCTGTTAGGACTAAAAGGAATAATCTATATCAGGAATCAGCAAACTTTCCTTGTAAAGGGCGTCATAGTGAATATGTTAGAATTTTTGGCCATAGAATCTCAGCCACAACTATTCATCTCATTCGTTTTAGTGCAAAAGCAGCCATAGATAACACAAAAATGAATGGGTGTGGCTCTGCTCCTATAAGCTATTTACCAAAACAGGCAGTGGCTGGAATTAACCCATGGGCCATGGTCTGCCAACCCCTGGTCTAGATGAGGTCCTTAACCTATCACAGAATCCATCTTCAATTAGTCTCTGTAATGTATTGAATAATTAAGAGCTCTAATTAAGAGCTTCTTAAAAAAATGTGTTCTAAGAGCTTTTTAAATAATTAATTAATTAATTAATTAATTTTTGGCTATGTTGGGTCTTCGTTGCTGCGCTCAGGCTTTCTCTAGTTGCAGCAAGCCGGGGCTACTCTTCGTTGTGGTGTGCAGGCTTCTCATTGTGGTGGCTTCTCTTGTTGTGGAGCACGGGCTCTAGGTGCACGGGCTTCAGTAGTTGTGGCACATGGGCTCTAGAGCGCAGGCTCAGTAGTTGTGGCACATAGGCTTAGTTGCTCCGTGGCATGTGGGATCTTTCCAGACCAGGGCTCGAACCCATGTACCCTACATTGGTAGGCGGATTCTTAACCACTGCACCACCAGGGAAGCCCTGAAGACTGGTTTTAGAATTCTTTTGTCTTTTCGCTCCTTTTCCCCATTCCTTTCTCTCCTCTCCTCTTTTTAAATTGAGGTATAGTTGATTTACAATGTTGTGCTAATTTCTGCTGTACAGCAAAGTGATTCAGTTATACATATATATATATACACATTCTTTTTAAAATATATATATTTATTTATTTGTTTATTTTATTTTTGGCTGCGTTGGGTCTTCATTGACGCGCTCGGGCTTTCTCTAGTTGCGGCAAGCAGGGGCTATTCTTTGTTGCGGTGCACGGGCTTCTCATTGCGGTGGCTTCTCTTGTTGCAGAGCATGGGCTCTAGGTGCGTGGGCTTCACTAGTTACAGCACACGGGCTCAGTAGTTGTGGCTCACAGGCTCTAGAGCGCAGGCTCAATAGTTGTGGCGCATGGGCTTAGTTGCTCTGCGGCATGTGGGATCTTCCCAGACCAGGGCTTGAACCTGTGTCTCCTGCATTGGCAGGTGGATTCTTAACCACTGTGCCACCAGAGAAGTCCCTATATATACATTCATTTTTTTAATGTTCTTTTCCAGCATTGTTTATCATAGGATACTGAATATAATTTTCTGTGCTATACAGTAGGACTTTGTTGTTTATCTATTCCATATGTAATAGCTTACATCTGCTAACCCCAACCTCCGACTCCATTTCCCCCCCAACTCCTCCGCCTTGGCGACCACAAGTCTGTTCTCTACATCCGTGAGTCTGTTTCTGTTTTGTAAGTATGTTCCTTTGTGTCATATTTTAGATTCACATATAAGTGGTATCATATGGTATTTGTCTTTCTCTTTCTGACTTACTTCACTTAGTATGATACTCTCTAGTTGCATCCATGTTGTTGCAAATGGCATTATTTCATTCTTTTTAATGGCTGAGTAGTATTCCATCGTATATATGTACCACATCTTCTTTATGCATTCATCTGTCGATGGACATTTAGGTTATTTCCATGTCTTGGCTATTGTGAATAGTGCCGCTATGAACATAGGGGTGCATGTATCTTTTTTTTTAATAGATCTTTATTGGAGTATAATTGCATCACAATACTGTGTTAGTTTCTGTTGCACAACAAAGCGAATCACCATATGCATACACATGTCCCCATATTCCCTCCCCCTTAAGCCTCCCTCCCATCCCCCCATCCCACCCTTCTAGGTCATCACAAAGCACCGAGCCAACCTCCCTGTGCTATGCTGCTGCTTCCCACTAGCCAAATACTTGGCAT